TTGTAAGAAAGTTGTCGTTTTGTGCGTTGACTTCAGCAGTGTTGTCATTGCAAGGGATTGTAATTGGCTCGTTAACATTATTGCTAGAAATGTTGGTTCAAAGTAAACTTTGATACTTTCACTGTGCAACAAATCATTTGCATTAAGTGGCACAGTTATTCCCTTTAAATAGATGTGAATACACTGGTCTTAAGCTGTAGCGCAGAGTCATTATGAAAAGACGTTGGCAGTGAAATATTTTTGTTGTTTCTAATTGCTGGCACAGTGACTCCATCTCTCCTTATTTGTTAATCGAGTTGTTTATGGTGCCCCAAAGACTTTGCAGAAAACTGAAAGAATTCTTGAGATTGATGAAAGTGCTTGTGACCTTACTGGGAGTCCCAATGCACCTGACAGGTAGGATGCATGTCGCACCAGTTAGTCGTGAAATACGAAAATTAGGACCTTTAAATGTGCTGCTTTAGTGCGACACCTAACGACCTAGCATTACTGCAGCACAGAGGAGGTACTGTGTATTTGTGAGAGAGGAGCGAAGGGGCTTTCATTTTCTTTCCAGCTGTCAGTTGCACAATTGTGCCATTGTTGCTAAAGTTCGTATTTCTGCAAAGCTAGGAGACAGGGAACTAGGACAGGGCTAGTGGGCTCACTGAGTGGCATGGGCAAAGGGGGAGGTGAAGCCGCTCACGTTACCCGTGGTCACAAGGGCCACATATGTCTAGACCATCGTGCCACCTGGTGTGCAGCATAGAGAAGCTGCGACGCGAAAGAACCAAGTGCGCCGACTGCTGCACCACAGGTGTCACGAATGTCAAGATAAGAGCATCTATGACCAATACTTGCTTGCAAGGACACATCGGCAGCGTCATGCAGTCAATGCCAGTTAGCCCATTCCCCCTCTTCCCCTCTTCTGGTGTGCTATAGCTAGGCCTAATAACTAGGCTTCTTAGTAGGCTGACTCTATAGCTAGGTCTACTAAGCTCACTACTGAGTATGCCATTCTAGGCCTAATGAGCTAGACTTACAAAATCAGTGCAGTTCATAGGTTTTATTTAATTTTTTTTCACCCTGATGTTTTGCATTTGGTAAACAACTTGAGCTGGAAATTATGTGAGCTGAAACGTGTGGGTTCTGAGCGACAACACCCTTTTTACTTATGGCAGTCTCTCTCACTTCTTCCTTGTTCTCCTCTCTCCTTCTACATTTCTTCTTTTCTCTCGGTTTGCTTGCCTCATGAGAAATCTACCCGCTGAGTGATGGAGTAAGCACTAGCCCGAACGGAGCAGTGGCGTTAATGAGCAGCTTGCCGTTTGTATCAAGATGGAGAGGCAAGTTTTTATTTCAAATCTACCAGAGAGGCCAGGCCTGCATGTTTTGTCTGTTTGGTGCACTTGTGTAGTTTGCCTCTTGGAGAATGCAAATGCCAGTTTCAATCGTGTCTGTATGATGCATGCATGCATGCCTTCACTACTCAGGTTTTTCTTTCTTTATTCTGTTGTATAGCTTTGATTCCCTGAACGTAACATCCTGAATCATTGCTCAACCAACGTACTATTCTCTGATTAACCTGAGCTAATAAGGTTCAGGCAGAACGAGTTCAGGTTGGCGTCTAGGTAGTTATTTATGAAAGAACCATTTGGCTTGGATTGAATAGAGGCAATCTTGCTTTGTAACAGCGTATAAACTTAAGTTAGTGCACCGTCGCCAAAAAATACCCATCTTTGTCTTCATTTACCCGGCGCTAGCAGACAATAGTGGTCAACAAAAGCCAACATTAGCAATCATTTAGCCAGCATTTGGCAACAGCCAATGTTGGCAATTATGCAGCAATCATTCGGCCAATGCTGGCTAGAGTAATGATGATTTGCTGGTGAATACAATAGGTCGCGACGCAAGCATTTGCTCGGCGTTCGCAAATCATGGGGCCTACGCTGACATATGCTTTCTCCTATAAAATAATACCTGTTGGAATAAGTGTTAGAATCAAAACTGCAATAGTTTTCAATCATTCAATCAATGATAATAAAACTCGTATATTAATTGATTGATTGAATAGTGCTGCTGACACTGGAAAAACTACTGTAATCCAGTCACATTACTGTAAATATGGAAGTTTAAGTGTCTGCAGCATTGTTCATGCCAACTCTGCACTGTTTTTGTCATAGTTTGCTAGGGATAAGGAACTGCCATATGTTAATTTCCCAGTTTCAAGGGCACACCAGTGTGGCAACATATTTTAGTGGCAATGCAAGTGTCTATAGGGGGGAGGTATCAGGTGGGTGTTGCTTTACGTAATTTTGCACCAGGTAACCTAGTAACGAGAAATTTTAGGCAAGAGGAAATCGCAGATACATACCCAGTGTGTGATCTCTCATGGCTAAATTTCTTGATCGCACCAAAGATAAAATGACAGGGACAAGCCGGCCTGATTTTCAGTCTTTGAGGCAATGACGCTAATTTTATTTTCTAAAGAGCAGCACATCATCGCCAGCGCTTTGGCTCTCGACTCCTTCAAAGAAGTGTGCCTGGCATGGAGTGCAGTCTCGCTTAAGGCGGCCAGGTGGCTGGAAGGCTATGAGGCCCACCACGTTACTATCTGTTTTGCAATCAGAAGCATTAAGAGAACAACAAAGAACCTAGCATTCAATCTTTCCCTCTTCATTTGTCAAAATAAGAGCTTCTGTCTATATATTAGAAGTGATTAAATACATATTAGAAGTGATATATATATATATATATATATATATATATATGCTGCAATATCATTATAGTCATTACTTGTCTATATGCACACACTGTCCATCTCCATGTTCCTTTTTAATAAATAATGGAATTAAGTACCTTTCTACTGTGTTATATGGAGCTAAGTTCCAGTTGTCCTCTCTTTGGCGGGTGTGAGTGGTTGAACGTAACTTATTCAATGGATGGAGTTGCGATTTCTCCTAGTTTGAGGTAGATGTTTTGCTATAGAAGTGCAGTGTTAAATTAGTAAGTGTCAACAATCGCTGTGCATCTCATTTCGAGTTGAGGCAACGTAATGGTGAATGGACGCGATGGCTCGGGATGTTGTCTTATTTCCGCTTGATCTTTTGTTCTCTTGCCTGCACCTTCAAGCATGAATTGCATGGCACAATGTTCAAAGGGAACTGGGCACAATCGGTGTTAGTGTGTGTAGTGTGAGCACGGTTTGTTGTCGTATTCATTTGAATAACCAGTGCAGAAGGGGTTGCAAGTACCCATTGCATTGGAGGAAAGTGATAGTAGAGGGGAATATTGCAGTATAATTTCGTTCTGTAAATTACTGTGTGTGTCTACCGATGTGTTTGATGTTATAGCCAACTTTACAACAATCCAACTGCATTGAACAGCAGAGGAGTCGGAACAGTTAAACTCTAACGTTAGTCTATACAAAGGTGTGATGATTTTGCTTATGTTAGACATGCAGTTCTTGTTGTTTCATGATAGTGCTTGACTGCATACGGCTATTTCTATGCTCGTTCTTTTCTTTCATGGGACCTCGTTTAAAGCCACGGAACTAAAAGTATGGAATTGTATTAGGATATTTCTGAGAGTGCACAACAACTGAAGATAGTTTCGCTTGCTTCTGGTCTTCATTTCTTGTGTGCATGCCGTGGTACCATGAGTGATTGTTTTAGAGCATTCTACTGTCATTAAGGCTGCATCTTATCTTCCTCACTTGTGAGCTGTGCAGCAGAGGCCATGAAAAATGCAGCCTTGAAGCATAATTGTAATCAGTAGCTTGTAGCGAGAGAGATGAGACGTGAGAGAACATGAAAGCGGCCATGTCTCGCTACTTTATTAAGAACTGCCAAAGCGGAGCAGCAGTGGCTGCCAGCGTTCAGACCACCCGCAGCACGAGTTCGTTCTTCCTAGCTCGCGCCTCGAGCTGTTGGCATGAGCTGCGTGAGAAGTACGGCATGGTGGTCGGGAAATGACGATGATGATGCTACAAGCAGGAGCGTGTGTCGATAGACAGTTATATAAGAAAAGCAGTATTTTATTGATTGCTGCACAGATCATATCAAGAGTAAAACATCACTGGCATTTGTAGCATTTTAAATGTCAGCCAAGGACACATGTCATGAAATTTTCTTGAAGCATGCATGATGAGTTTTTTTCAGTTGCACTGAGCTGCTTGTATAAAATGATGCTGTTTGGTCAGTCATACTTGTTTCACATAGTTTCACACAATAGAGTAAAGCATCCTATTGGTAACTTGGATGTCTGTTTGGGCAATGGTGGCATCAGTCAGAAATCATACAAATCATGGGAAAGTTGAATGACACTGGCATTCAACTACAAATGAAGAAACGGGTTAAGCTAGCCAGCAATATGGAATCTCAAATGCAAAGTCAGAAATCGTGCTATGGAATAGTGCCTGTGCTACAAATAAACACAACCAATCATTTTTAAATAAATTTATCAATGATTAAGACTGATTCACAGATTACTCGATTGATGCTACCATGTTGACCATTCTGAATATCAAGAATTGACATTTTTATTACAGCTTGTAAATGTCTCCAGTTTGTCCTTTGTGTGTGTTAGGTGATTCATTTTAAATGGGAAGCTATAGTATGCATTATGATTCAAAACTTGAAGAGTGAACCAAAATATTACAATTTAATTCCCTTTGATTGACAAGAGTTTCAAACTATGCTAGTTAACTGCATATGCTTCAACAAAAGTTGCTCTCCCTAGTGGTACTGCTTGCCATTACTATTGTAATAGTTTCATATTACCCACTTTCTGGATTTTAGGAATGCGCTAACGCTCACTTCTCAGAGCACTTGGACCACTGGGCTTACTAGACACTAAACAACCAGCAGTAACCAACAGACATTACCTGGGTAATTTCAACCACCACACACAATGGTCTCTAGTACAGCAATGTCTGGTGGGACAGCTTTACAGAAGTTCTGCGTGCTAGGCTTTTGCCAATAACCCTGATGTTGTGTCCTCATTTGTGGCTTTTATCACAGCATCAACCGACACCGGCGTGAGCATGGACAAGTGGCTGTCCCGGCTTGAGGCGTCGGGGTGGCTGAGTCATATCAAGGGCGTTCTCTCTTGTGCCTGCTTTGTTGCCCAGTGCCTTGACCAGGATGGTGAGCTACAGCGTTGTTTCTTATTGCAATATGTTGCATTGTTGCTTTGTTACAAACATTCGATAAGGATCCCATACCACCCAGAGATTGAAATTTAGTTGAGGTGTTGATGTTGCGCAGGATTGTACAACGAACACGTGGCCTCAAGAATTTTTTTAATTGATTCTGTAATAGCAGAGTTACACACACTTGATTATCAAAATGCAGTCCTTGCTTGTTTCCCTCATCCCGTTATTACACTTGGCTCATTTGCTTGCCTCTCCTCCTGGCTCAGTGTCCCTCCTCTCTGTGTGCAGAGGAAAAAGCAGGAAGCGCTTGCACTTCAGGCAGATAAAGAGGTTCTTGCTGCTGCTAACTTGACTAAATTATGTTTGCGATATAATGACCAATGCTGGGGATACCGAAAGAACCCAGAGAGAAGCTTGGGGCTGTGTCATTTGGCACTGCTGATCACGATGGCCTGTGGTACTCGTTGCACATTTACATGAAATGTAAAGAAAAAACATCTTAGGTGGCTCAGAGGCCTCCTAAAGAGGCCGTGCAACACGTTTTCAAGCAATTATGGAATGACTTCATTAAAAGAGCTTATTGCTTCACGAATTGACTGCCATAAAACTTCTTCGAATTCATCAGCTACGAGCACAGTTAAAGGTACCCTGAAATGGTTTTGATGATTTTGTACAGACACATTAGACTGGTAGATCAAGTCCAAAGGGTCATTTACTAGCCAGTTTGAGCTCTCTGTGTGAACTGTGTAATTTATTACAATGCTTTAAAGCTGCGAATCACTGCAGATCGCTGCGACTTGGCCAAGCGCGTTTTTAGCCGCCCATTCGCAAAGCCTCATCGTAGCTGCTGATCTGTTTGGCGGTGGAATGAGCGGCACAGGCCCCGCGAAGGCGGAGCTCAGCCCCGAGCGCTCGAAGGAAGAGCTGAGGTGGTTGACGGTGAAAGGTGGAGTGGAAGAGGAGGGTACCTGTTTATTACTCGTAGCTCCGTTAATAAAACGGCGCTTTGACTGAATTACTGTGCCAATTAATAGCTCCAGTAGTGGTCTAATCAAAAGTGAAATGAGAAAAAACCGTTTTAGGGGCACTTTAAAGGTGTAGAGAGGAAGAAGATTATGTGCCACAGTGGGTCAGGCCTTTAGCGAGAGGAGCCAAGCGTGAGCGTTTGCCCCGAGTGCTGCGATTCCTGGGTCCGTTGCTGCCGCCCGCTTTCCGCATCAATAGACTTGCTGTGCAAGTACTACTTGCGCCAATAAACCCTGTTTCAGAATGGTGGAGGTGCGGGGTAACTCAACCTGGAACTCTGCAACAGGAAACTACCTGCCATCCCAGAAATGGCTGAAGAAAACACCCAGCAAGGTACGACCCAGCCTCCGATGGTCATCGTGCCCGCTGCGCTACGCGTGCGCGATCCACCTTTTTTCGACGGTACCGATGAGCAAGACGTTGAAGATTGGCTGTCGACATTTGAAAAGGTAGGTGCAAGCAACAAGTGGGACGACACATCGAAGCTGCAATATGTACCCTTCTACCTGAAAGAGGTAGCAGTCTCTGGTTTAACAACCACCACTCGAAATTCATCACTTGGGGTGCTTTCAAGCTACGCATTACCGATGTATTCGGTTGCCCCGAGGTACGCAAGCTCCGTGCCGAACAGCTTCTACGGGGACGCGCACAGCTTCAAGGGGAAGGCTTCACAAGCTACATCGAGGATGTGCTCGACTTGTGCAAGCATCTTGACCCTTCAATGATCGAAGCAGACAAGATCAAACACATCTTCAAGGGGATAGACGACGCCTTCCAGATGCTGCTGGCCAAGGGCCCTTGTACCGTGTCCGAACTCACCACTCTTTGCCAGAGCTTCGAGGAATTGCGCAAACAACGGGTCATGACACGGTGGCCAGTGGCTACCGACGAAACTCTCGCGGCATTGACCCTAGGTGGAGACCACAACACAATCATGTCGGAAATCAAACGATATGTGCGCGAGGAGGTGGCCCGACAACTTTCGTGTCTGTCGTATCAACCGGCAACGGAACCCTCTTCTGAGCGTCTCGCGCCCGCCATCAGACAGGTAATACAGGCACAGGTCTCTGAGGCACTGCCGCCCGTCTCTCAGACAACACCTGTCACCGCGCCATTGACTTACGCTGCTGTTGCTGCTACTCCACCACAACCTCCACTTCGGCCTACTCCCCAGCCTCTACAAGTACCAATGACGCCATTTCCAGCAACACAGCAGCGCTATAACGGAAACCCTTGGCGCACAGTTGACAATCGTTTAATATGTTACGCATGGGGATATCCAGGTCACGTGGCGCGCTTCTGTCGCCGGCGCTTTGCAACGGGCCCGGCTGCAGCTTCGAGGTACTCTGACGACTCTTTCCCGGCCCTGTACAACGCGCAACGAGAAATGCCCCGTCAATGCGACCGACAATCAGTGCAACGCGACCCGTCCCTATCCGAACTAGACCACCACCCTGCTGCCGACTACCGATCATTTGGTCCCCGTCGCTCATCCTCACCACGCCGCTACCATTCACCGTCCCCGCTGCATCGCCGACCGAACCCCGTAGAGACGGAAAACTGACTGCCGCAGCTCCGGAGGCACGAGCTGCGAAATCGTCGCATTGTAGAAGTTCTTGCCCGTCCCCCACAAACGTTCTGGAACTGTTTGTTGAAGGTCTACGAACTCTTGCGCTTGTTGACACGGGTGCCGCCGTATCTGTGATGAGTCAAAAACTCTGCCGTTCGATACGAAAAGTAACGACGACGCCTTCCGACGTATTGCTGAATACCGCGAGCACGCAACCTATTCGACCAGTCGGAGCATGTACAACGAGAGTAATCATTCAGGATGTCCTGCACCACATCGAGTTTCTTGTGTTGGCCACTTGTTCCCACGACGTGATACTTGGATGGGATTTTTTGTCACGCCACCATGCCGTAACTGACTGCGCTCGTGCGCAGGTGGAATTTTCTGTGTTTTCTAATGCGCCATCTACTGACAATGAGCTCACTCACCTTGGCAAGCTTCTTGTTGCTTCCGACATAGATGTTCCCCCTCTTAGTGCCATCGTTGTACCCGTCAATCGCACTGAATTGTTCGGCTCTACCGTTGTGTTCTCCCCATCTGACGTTTTCAGTCGCCGCCACAGTACGTCTCTGCCATACGCCGTTCTGCCACCTCACCAAGATACTTCTAGAATTGTCGTTTGCAATCCTAGCTCATGCCCTCTCACCTTATGAACTCACGAAACACTGGGCTATGTTCTTCCTGTTGATGACAACGTTATTGTGCCTATTGAGTCCCACGACCCTGGCCAGCAACTTCAACTGAACGCTATTACTCCTTCTTTTACGCGGGATGACTACTGCTCGGATATCTTCAATTGTTCCATCGACAGCCAGCTTCCTCTGGATCAATGGAACCAGCTAATAACCCTTTTGCATGAATTTCCGTGATTCATTTGACCTTCCTCAAAAGGGCACTGAATCAAACTAACACCGTCGCTCACACAATCTATACTGGAACGCACCCTCCTTTGCAGCAACGCCCCTACCGCATACCACCCAAGGAACGAAGTGTAATTGCAGAGCACGTGGACGATATGCTTCAGCGCGGTGTCATCAAGCCATCTTCTAGCCCCTGGTCTTCACCTGTTGTGCTAGTGAAGAAAAAAGACGGTTCGATTTGATTTTGTGTCGACTACCGGTGACTGAACAAAATTACATGGAAAGATGTGTACCCTCTTCCCCGCATCGACGACGCTATCGATTGCCTACAAGGTGCCGAATTCTTTTCTTCGCTGGACTTACGTTTAGGTTACTGGCAGGTTATGATGGCAGAGTGTGACCGTCCCAAAACAGCGTTCGTTATGCCGGATGGCCTATACGAATTCACGGTTATGCCATTCGGTCTGTGCAATGCACCTGCAACGTTTGAACGAATGATGGATAGCGTTTTACGCGGCCTTAAATGGCAGATATGCTTATGTTACCTTGATGATGTTATCGTATTTTCTCCTGATTTTCCTACCCACGTCGACCGTCTGCGCACAATTCTTCAGTGTCTTATTAAGGCAAACCTCCAGCTTAACCTAAAGAAGTGCCGCTTCGGGGCTCGCCAACTTACTATACTTGGTCACGTTGTGTCAAAGGATGGAATTTGCCCAGACCCGGACAAACTTCGAGCCGTAGCCAACTTTCCGAAGCCGACTTCACTCAAAGAACTTGGGAGCTTCATCGGCTTGTGCTCGTAAATTCGCCGTTTCGTCCACAACTTTGCATCAATAATAGCCCCACTTATGCAACTACTGAATGGTCCAGCTAATCTTTCTAACTGGACCCCGGCATGTGACGAAGCCTTCCTTACACTGCGCCGCCTGCTTACGTCGCCACCCATTCTACGCCATTACGATCCAAGTGCCACCACTGAAGTGCATACAGACGCCAGTGGCATTGGTCTGGGAGCCGTACTCGCGCAATGAAAGCCCGATATTCCAGAGTACATCCTCACTTATGCAAGCTGCGCACTCACGAAAGCGGAAATAAACTACTCCGCAACTGAAAAAGAATGCCTCGCAATCGTTTGGGCGTTAAGCAAGTTTCGTCCTTACTTGTACGGACAGAGTTTCGACGTTGTGGCAGACCACCACGCACTTTGTTGGTTGGCGTCACTAAAAGATCCTTCAGGTCGCCTTGGACGTTGGGCTCTTCGCCTACAAGAATTCGACATTTGTGTCGTCTACCGCTCAGGACAAAAACACTCTGATGCGGACGCCCTCTCACAATCACCAGTGAGATCCAGCGCAGACCTGCATTCGGATGCCAACTTTCCCATCACTCCCATTTCCGTCTCAATCATGTCGTCTGAACAGCGGAAAGACCCATGGATAAAATCTCTCCTCAACATTCTTTCCGACTCCTCGACGCCTGCGTACCCATGCGTTCTTCGCCGCCAAGCCACACATTTCGAGATACGGGATGCGCAACTATACCGCAGAGACTACCATGCGGATGGCCGTAAATGGCTCTTGGTTATAGCACGCCACATGCGATCTGATGTCTGTGCGTATTTTCACGCCGACCCACAACATGCTCACGCTGGTGTGTTAAAAACATATCACCGGATCCGCCAGCGTTACTACTGGCGTGGTATGTACACCTTTGTACAAAAATACATTCGGTCCTGTTTATTATGCCAATGAGGAAAAACAGCGGCCCATTCACCCGGATTATTACAGCCTCTACCGTGTCCGGCGCGCCCTTTCGACCGCGTTGGAATCGATTTATATGGTCCCCTTCCATACACTGCCACTGGAAATCGATAGATCATTGTCGCGGTCGACCATCTGACGAGGTATGCTGAAACAGCTCTATTACGTACGGCTGGTGCACGTGACGTAGCCAATTTCGTCTTGCGACGCTTCGTACTGCGTCATGGGGCACCACGTGAACTGCTGAGTGATCGAGGGCGTGTCTTTTTATCCGAAGTTGTACAACAACTTCTTCGGGCATGCCACACGGTGCACCGCACCTCTACAGCCTACCACCCGCAGACCAACGGTCTAACTCAGCGCTTCAACCGAACGCTAGGAGACATGCTCACCATGTATGTCGATTCCGACCAATCGAACTGGGATGTTATTCTTCCATTTGTGACTTATGCGTACAACACTGCGACGCAGTCAACCACAGGTTTCTCGCCTTTCTTTCTTCTACATAGGTGTGAGCCATGCTCCACCTTTGACACTATTTTGCCGTATCGTCCCGACGTCTCAGAGTTCAACCCTTTCTCTGAAATTGCGCACCACGCTAAAGAGTGTCGTCAGTTGGCCCGATCATTCACCTCGGACAAGCAAGCACTCGAAAAAGACCGCCACGACCGTGACCAGCAAGTCGAGACTTTTGCCGTGGGCTCGCTCGTCTGGCTCCGACTGCCCTTCCACTCCCCAAGTCTGTACTCTAAGTTTGGCCCCAAGTCTCACGGTCCTCATCACGTGGTTGAACGTCGATCTCATGTAACATACGTGATCGAGCCGGTCACGCCATCTACAAACAGGCGACGCCTTGGTCGGGAGACTGTCCACGTGAGTCGTCTCAAGCCCTATCACGACCCACTCCTACTCTCGTCACCTTGACTTGCCAGGATGGCTCGTCTTCGTCGCCGGGGTATTGTAGAGAGGAAGAAGATTATGTGCCGCAGTGGGTCACACCTTTAGCGAGAGGAGCCAAGTGCGAGCGTTTGCCCTGAGTGCTGCGATTCTTGGGTCCGTTGCTGCCGCCCGCTTTCCGCATCAATAGACCTGCTGTGCAAGTACTACTTGCGCCAATAAACCCCGTTTCAAAGGGATTTGTTGCACACTTCAAGCAATTTCTCTCTCCTTTTGTACTAGCGAGTGCACTGAAAGCTACGCAGGGAAAGGGGGTGACGAGACAAGGGGCAAGAAGATGCGTCTTTTGGTCAGCACACGTCATCACCTTACGCACTTTCTTTTCGTCTTCTCCTCATGAGGAGTCTGGAACCCCTCATGAGGAGCTTGGAGCCAGGTTCTAAGACCCAGGTTTCCCTTCCCAGTTCTCCTCACAGCAAATCAACACAATTCAGTTCGTTTATTGGACAGACTAAGTTCCTCTACTGCCATCCTCCCCTCTCTCTTGGTTCAGCCTTTGAGCCCCCAGTCAGATAGAGACAAAGGAACGGCCTACAAAAGGCATTCTGTGAAGCATGCTAACACACACGATGGTGGCGGTTTGGTTCGGCCGATTATGTTACCAGAGTGTCGCTCATTCTTTAGCGGGCCCACGCCTTTACTGCGTGGTTGTCTGCTGTCTTGCTTGACAGCCGCTTTGCAGACTCCATTCAAGATGAGTGGGTGCCAACACGCTGGACGTTTTCACACCGTATCCTGGCACCCCGCTGGCCGGAGGCTGTGCTGCTGGTCATTGAAAGCGACGAAAAACAGGCCATGGCCTCTCCCCTCAAATGGTTACAGAAAGCGGGAAACACTCGCCCACTTGCTTGCGACGCCAAACCTTACAAAAGGCATCTTGCCAGTACAGTTAGATCTTTTGTGGCCGATACTTGAAGACTCACATTTCTGCAGCTGAATTTTCAGCTGAGCTTTCTGTTGAATGCCATCGTTTTCGCTCTTCTTGCAGAACGTTCAGTGGTGATTCACGGGTCTGAAGGCACAGACTCTACCCTGCTGGCGTGCTCGCTGGCTCAGGTGATCCTGGACCCGGACTGCCGAACGATGCGTGGCTTCCAGGCGCTTGTGGAGCGCGAATGGCTTCGTGCGGGACACCCATTTCGTCTGCGCTGTCAGCACGGTGCTTTTGCACCGGCCAGCGTCCGTACCAAGGAGCAAAGCCCCACCTTTCTCATATTCCTGGATTGCGTATTCCAGGTAGGAGCTTAAAGGGACCCTCAACCAATATTTATGGTACCCGTTTTCTTAAGTGCAACAGAAAGCTTACTGGTCAGAGCTTGTAATCATGAAATGGTGACATAGAAAACACGGTAGAACATCTATAATCAGAATTTTTCGATTTGCAGCGATTATGCAGCCTTAAAGAGACATGCTGCAAACAGTGGATATGATTGCAATAGCGATTATACACCAGTGTAACGCGAGCCATGATGAAAAGTGAAGCCGAACAAGTACAAACACGTAACGTTGTGTTTGTCAATCCTGCAGTCCGGCGATCACTGCTTTCTAGCTTGCTAAATTATTTTACAAGAGTTGCAGCACATTCCCCGGGCATCTTATGCAAGTAATTTTGGCTGTGCACAAGTCTTTTTTTTACTTTAGCCAAGTCGAGCCAAGCCAAGTCTTCGAAAATGAAACGCGGCGTTAACACGTGATTGACGATTCACGCATAGTAGTTCATGTGCAGTTGTAATTGGACGGCTATGATATGTCATCGCTTGACAACTTGAACGAGTTAAGGAGCGAATTTGGGCTCGCACGCAAGGGCAAAATTAGGACCCCTATCAAGTAGCGCCAGAGTGACATGCTTCGACGGACCACAGCGGTAGCGACGAATCCGACTGAGTGCCACCATCGCGGCCACCAGCAGAAGGCATGAAAAGTGGTAGCGATTCTCCACATAGCAGTAGGTCGACGGCATTTCGCGTGTCGCAGTGAACGCATTCGCAAGGCGGACGCTACGGGAACCAAGCTGCTCTGGTAACACCGCGTGACATGGAAGCAGTGCCACTTTTCATGGTGTAATTCTTTTAGCCTTTTAAGCCACATAGAAACAATTGAACAGGAACAATAATGTAAATATTTGAAATTTAAGCCCTTATTCCGGTGCACTTCAAATATTTCAAATATTGACTGCAAGTTATTAGGACTTCATATTGGGGTTCATAGCTCTTGCATTATAGGCGCGACATGCTGGTTTTGGTTACTTTTGTACGCGATTAAAATGATAAGTCCTACTCAAGTTGCGAAAAGTATGCTGTCACCTGTCACAATAGTTCACGCTCTTTTCCTTTCCTCCAGAATTTAATTCACTCGTTCTGGCCAGTTGTGGGTCCCTCTGCTACTGGCTTTCACCAACCTGCGTGCAGGATGTTGTATTTTTATGAGCATTACTTCGCTGTGCTTTTTGACTGAGCAATGTAGGTGTTGTATTAGATGGAACTGCAGTTATGTACAGGCTCAGTTCCTCCAGCTATACTGCTCACTCATTTTTCTCTCAAATTTAGCAGTATAAAAGTTACAGCTATAAGTTATAGTACTTATAATACTGCAATGGCACTGTGTTCTATCTAATTTTGCCTCTCAAAGTTCCTAATCAGTTAGTTACACTCACTGGTATTGAAGTATGTATTGCTGAAGTGCAAGGTTGTCTTAAATTGTTATTAAGTAGTAGTCTGCCACTGTAGTATAGTAGCTATGGTGCTCAGCATCTGACTCTAAGCAACATATTCGATCCCGGCCATAGGAGGTCCCATTTTGATGTAGGCAATAAGCTAGATGCTCTTGTTTTGCAAGATGTCAGTGCACGTTAAAGAACACCAGATGATCAAAATTTTTTGATCCGTTCACTACAGGGTACCTCATAGTCACATCATGGTTCTGACTTTACCCCTCACAGTATTATTATATTGTCACAAAGGCACAGGGACGCAGGCAAAAAAGCAGGGGGTTTACTTTCGTGACCAAAGGCCAAAAGCATGAACACCAGAGCACACGCCCACAGAACTACTTCGTTATCCTCCTCATAGGCTGGCCACTATAGTTGCCAGCCTACGTTGTGTCAATTCGCCCCTTTCAAGAGTGACCGTCCCGGTCGATTAACTAAGATGCTAGAGATGGCCATAAAAAAAAAAAAGATGGTCACGTCAACGAAAAAAAAAACATAAGTTCGTGCTGTTGTGGATAATAAAAAAAGTTCGAAGTGTTCATAACTCGCGGGTGTGGTACGGTTTCATCCGTACCACATTGACTACTTCTGGACGTGGACGTCTTCGGTTTGAACTGGTATCCGAGCTTCGAGGAACTAATTCGTAATTCACGTCACTGAGGCAGCGCACAACTTCGTAAGAGCCAAAGTAGCGTTGCAATAGCTCCTCCGAAAGCCCATGATGTCGAACTGGTGTCCACACCCATACATAGTCACCTGGTTGATAGTGGACGTTCCTTCGGCCTTAGTTGTAACGGCGAGCGTTGACATCTTGCTGCGTGCGAATGTGATTCCGTGCAAGCTGGCGGGCTTCCTCGGCTTTCTCAACGAAGTCTGACGCTGTCATTTCCGCTGATGTCCTGGTCTACGGGGAGCATAGCGTCTAACGGTGTTGTGACGCGACGGCCATAAACAAGCTCGAATGGTGTTAGGTCTGTGGTCTCTTGCACAGCTGTATTATAAGCAAACGTGACGTACGGCAAAATTTCATCCCACGTTTTGTGCTCTACATCAACATACATAGATAGCATGTCGGTCATTGTTTTGTTTAACCGCTCCGTCAAGCCGTTCGTTTGGGGATGATAAGCTGTTGTTTTCCGGCGGTTAGTGTGTGTCAGCTTGGTGACTTGTCGCAATAACTCTGCCGTAAATGCTGCTCTGCGATCGGTTATGAGAACAGCAGGTGCACCATGACCCAAAACAATGTCGTGGACAAAGAATCTGGCGACTTCAACTGCAGTTCCACTAGGCTCAGCTTTGGTTTCTGCATAGCGAGTCAGATAGTTGGCTGCGACAATTATCCACTTATTTACTGAGAATGACATAGGGAATGGACCAAGAAGATCCATTTTCACTTGCTGAAGTGGTGCTCGAGGTGGTTCTAAAGGTTGGAGGAAGCCGGCGGGCTTTGCGGGTGGAACTTCACGCCTCTGACAGTCACGGCACGTGTGGACATAGCGCTGAACGGACGAATACAGCTGTGGCCAGTAGTACCTTTGTCGGAGCGCGCTAATGTCTTAGCAAAGCCTAAGTGACCGGCAGAAGGACCGTCGTGGCACGCCTGCAAAACTTCCTCACGCGGTGCCGTTGTAACGGCGAGAAAAAAGTTTCCTGGCTGCTCTCAAGATTTCTCTTGTAGAGAACATTGTTACGCCGACAATACGATGTTAATCGACGTGAGAGCCGGCGTGGGACGATAACGTCTTCTCCTTGAAGATGCTTGATGACAGGTAGTAGATCAGTGTCCTCACGTTGAAGCTCGGCCATCCTGGCCACATCGACGATGCCAAGAAACGGTAAATCGTGTTCAGTGTCAGATGACGTCGGGGAAATGGGAGCACGAGACAGGCAGTCAGCATCTGTACGCTTATGTCCTGATTGGTAGACCACCGTTACGTCGTACTCTTGAAGACGGAAGCTCCAGTGGGCAAGGCGGCCTGATGGATCCCGTAGATTGGCAAGCCAGCAGAGCGAATGGGGGTCACTGACAGCTCGAAATGGCCGGCCGTATAGGTAGGATCGAAACTTGCTAATGGCCCAAATGACTGCTAGGCACTCTTTTTCGGTGGTAGAGTAGTTAGCCTCTGCTTTTGTGAGACTGCTGCTCGCGTAAGCGATCACACGCTCTGTGCCGTCCTGCCATAGAACAAAAATGGCTCCGATTTCTACGTTGCGGGCGTTTGTGTGAATCTGTGTGTCGGCAGTATCGTGAAAATGTGCCAGCACTGGAGCTGTCTGCACTCGATGGCGTAGCTCTACGAAGGCTTGTTGTTGTTCTTCCGTCCATACCAAGGGTACATCAGGCGTGTCAGTCTTGCAAGAGGTTCTGCAATTTTTGAAAATCCTTCGACAAAGCGGCAGTAGTAGGCACAGAGTCCGAGGAATCGCTGAAGAGTCTTCTTGTCTTCAGGACGAGGGAAATCGGCAACGGCAGCCAACTTCTCCGGATCTGGTCGAACACCCCCCGGGCTCACCACGTGGCCGAGAAACTTGAGTTCCTGATAGCCAAAGTAGCACTTTTCGGGCTTGATAGTAAGGTTTGCTCTCCTTATTGCAGTGAGGACACTTTTTAGCCTTAAAAGATGTTCGTCAAACGTGCTTGAAAACACAACGACATCATCCAAGTATACAAGACACGTCTGCCACTTTAGTCCAGCAAGTACAGCGTCCATCATGCGTTGAAATGCGGCGGGAGCGGAACAGAGACCGAAAGGCAGCACTTTAAGTTCGTAGAGCCCGTCGAGAGTCGCTAATGCGGTTTTTTCACGGTCGCCCTCGACAACTTCAATTTGCCAGTACCCTGACTTGAGATCTAATGTTCTTAAGTACTGGGCATGGCGTAGACAGTCTAAGACGTCATCAATCCGTGGCAGGCAGTAAACGTCGCATTGTGCGACTTTGTTAAGCCGTTGGTAGTCGACGCAGAAGTGTGATGTGTTGTCTTTTTACTTTACTAGGACAACAGTTTTCTTTACTAGGACAACAGGTGACGCCCACGGACCGGTCGAGGGTTGAATGACGTCATCATTCAGCATTTCTTGTATTTGACGCTTAATCACCTCTCTTTCCTTCGGGGACACACGGTATAGATGTTGGAAAAGAGGCCGCGCCGACTCCTCGGTAACAATGCGGTGTTTTGTAACGGTAGTACGTTGAACTTTAGATGCTGTAGAGAAGCAGTCCGAGAATTCCGTCACAAGGTTCAGCAGCCGCTCTTTTCGTGAATTTGGCAAGTCTGGATTAACCTTAATGCGGCTGCCCAGGTCAGCACAAGATTTTGCATGCGGTGAAGTCGTATCCAATGTGCTGACATCGGAAAAGTCGGCGATTTCACTGAGGAAAGCGACAGTGGTGCCTCTAGGGACTTGCTGAAACTCATTGCTGAAGTCGGTCAGCAGGACTCAAGAGCGTTTATTCTCTAACCGAACAAGGCATCGGGCTATGCAGATGTTTTGTTTAAGCAGCAGTGGGATATTTGCCTCTGCAATAC